TTCTGTAAATAATCCCATAAAGAATCAATATAAATATTTACACTTTCTACATAACTGTATGACGAATAAAAGAGAAATAAATACATATTAACAATAACAACAATAATAATAATAATAATAATAATAATAATAATAATAATAATAATAATAATAGTAGTAGTAGTAGAAGAAGAAGTGGAACATTTACAGAGTGAGACACTTTAACCCTTTAACTTTAACTTAGCATTTTAGCATTTTTCACTTTGACTTTCATCACGTTTACTTATTTGAAAAGGTAAAATTACGATTATTGAGCATTCTTTAATGCTACTATATGAAATTACATCTAATAAAATAATTTGTTGTAACTGCAGTTTACAAAGGAAATATTATGGAAAGACAGTTTTTAGCTGTATGTTTTATTTCCTACAAGCGTTGTTTTCACCACGTCAGCAGTCTGCAACTTTTTCTACAATTAAAATATTCATTTTTTTAAAATTCAAAATGTAGATTTTTAGCAATTAAATTCAATCTGAATATATTTTTGTCTTCTTTTCATTTGAATATGTAGGTTGAGTCTTCAGCTAAAAAAACAAGCTTTATGTTTCTCTCATGCTTTCCCTTTTATCTATTTCTATGCTTCAAGAAGCGCACACGGACAGGCTTCACACATTCGATCAATATTCTAATAAAACCCAACAAAAACTGGTCGTGGACTGTGGACACATTTTCACGAAGCGATCGTCTCGTTTCTTGCCAAAGTGTGTCGCTGTTTCGTCCTGCAGTCTTTGCGTTTTCACTTTAAGCTGCTTTGCTGTACACATGTGCCTTCTAAACACGAGCCTGCAGCAGGTCGTTCGCATTTTAAGATCCAGAAGGTTAAAATTCACAAGCTACAGTCAGTTAGAGTTGGTGAGTAGCAGCTAATAAAAATTCATTATTCCAAAGGAGAGCGCATCCGTGGCTGTTATAGCTCCATCATAAACAGGCTGGAAACACTTGAATACCCAGAATGCATTTTTGTAAAGATTAACTACATCATACAGTGCTTTGGATTTATTTTCCTGCTTTAACCTTATCGCTGGATACAATCTGTTTCAGTCATTTACCATTATAAAACAAAGAGACAACAATGGTCCTTTATGTTTTAAGAGGTTTTGCATAACCATCCACTCTTTCACGGTATAATATTGTAAATGCACATGATGGAGAGACTAAAAACTAGATCTAGACTCAGCCCAGTCTAAGAGTGGAGTGTCCTTTTTCAGCCGTATACAACAAAAATCAAACCGTTAGAACAAGGAGAGGGAAACACACACAATTAATTAGGCTTCTGTTTCATATATCTATATCTATATAGATATAGATACCTATATAGATATATATAGAGAGATATAGATATATAGATATATCTTCTATGCAGGAAAATACGTTCAGCCCAGCTTCTAAACCGGTGGTTGTTTAGCCACACTGACGTGTACCGATGCTTTACATCACCCTGCTTATTCAAGACATCCTCATCATCACACTTTTAATTGCAGTTATTTTCTGGATGTGATCCTGATTTCTATTTCAAGATAAATCAATCAGTAACCTGATTTGGAGCGCTTTTATTTTCTCGTTTATTCCCCCCACCAATAATAAATTAATATATAGATATATATTATAGGCCTCTGTTTGACAAATTTGATAGGCTCTGGGCCGGCTGTATTCCCTCCTCCTCCTCTTCCTCATTATCACCCTCCCTCCTTTCGCCTCTCTCGCTGTCTGCAGCCGCAGCTCTTACACTCGTGTCTGACCCGCTTTATCCGGTAAGAGAGGATTTTTTTTCCCCTGCATAACATGTCAGGAAGTCATCCGTTTATGTAGCAGCTAAAAGACATAAGATTTGCAGTTTGTAGTTATGGTGCTGGCAGAAAGTGGGCTATATATTTATATATGTACGTATGTAAATGTGGAGCCCAGATTATTTGAATGAGTGCATTTCTGCGGCGAATTATTGCTCCCGAAAAGGTTTTTTCTTTTCTTTTTTTAAATGCAGCCGATCTATGTGGATGTAAGTGTTGGATTGCGTTCAAGTGATTTGTAAGTAGCCTTTTATATTTTGACAGTGATGCAGGTGCAGCGTGGTGGACGTTATTTTGTGCTTCACTGGAAATGTCTTTAATTCTCCTCTTCGGTGTGTTGGTTTCACTTCCACAAGAAAAATACATATCTGTGTGTGTGTGTGTGTGTGTGTGTGTGTGTGTGTGTGTGTGTGTGTGTGTGTGTGTGTGTGTGTGTGTGTGTGTGTTACCAGATATATTTTTTTTATTTCAAAAGCACCGAGTTACATATTATTCTATTTTTTTCTTTATCCGCCTAAAATTTATTTTTGCTTAATTATCTAAATTTATAAGAGAACTGTGATTGAGATTTTATATTAGCATCAACTGACTTACATAGTCCAAAAATACTAATAATGCACAATAAGGCCTCCCGATCACCTAATATTTACTGTAAATTAATATTTAAAGATTGGACATTTTGCTCCCATCGTGCAGGGATGAACCTCAGCTCGCTCGCTTCAAAGTTAACGCAAACTCCGGAATATTTAATGAGGGTCTCCGCTGCCATGTGCTCATGTAAGAAGTATTCATGTGGTAGTAGGGAGGGAGGAGGAGGTTGGGGAGGAGGTGGAGGCCCCAGGCAGCGCTGCAGTGCAGAGTTCAGCAGGGAGATATTGTTGTGAGCCTGGGAAAGTGTAGCGGGGCTGACGCCAGACTCTGTTGTGCGGGGCTGGAGGGAGAGGGGGAGACTTGGAGGATCCCAGACCTGATTGTCATGTAAATTTCTCTCCGGCACGTTGTTGAACTTGATGTTGACTTCTTTTTCTCTCTTTTTTTTTTCTTTCTTTCTTTTTTTTTTTTCTTTTTTGAGATGGGAGGTGCGGGCGGTGGGAGTGGGGGCAAATTTTCCCTGTCACTTGTTTGTGGGAAAATCTTTCCAGGCACACACACACACACACACACACACACACACCTTTCAACATATTGTTCAAATGTTCAGAGCAGGAATTGTGACCGTGGGTGACGTTTGTGAACATTAAAACTAGAATATTTAAAAAAAATGTTTCTTTTTAACCAGAAACATTTTAAATTATTTGGCAGCTGTTTTAAGTAGATCCGTCACCATTAAAAGGTTTTAATACTATTACTACTATTATTTCTTTAACCGTGGAAAACAAGCAGGTGATATCAAGACCTACATATTCTGATATTTTTATTTTATTTTTAACAGTTTTTGACATCGGTGATTGTGTGATCGAGTGTGATGCTTTCCAACACACACGTTATCTCATATTTTTCTTTATGGGTGCCAGAAGTGGAGGTTACATATTTTACAAGCAGGTGCAACTGATGTTGGGAAGCACGTGTCCTCCAGGACTTGGTCACGCATGCTCAGGTGCAATGATGACCGTGCTCATGCTAATGTTGAAAGAATATTTGTAAATGTGCTTTGTATGCAGGCTTTCTCGTGTTTTGATTTTTGCTTTTAACCGCGCCAATGCACTATGTGCTGCACAAGCTCGGATGCATTATAACGGAGGCCACGATTAGATCTATTTATAAATGATGCAGAGTAGAATAGGATTCATACAGTAAAGTCCGACCTGTGCTGCAGCCTGACAGCAGAGCTGCACCTCCATGATACTAACAGATTGCCCATGCGCAATAATCAGATAGGCCTGTGTAACTGCTATCTGATGCAAGCTTCGTTTGAAAACCTGGACTGTAGCTCCCTGCTCTTTTATTGGTTTACACACACACACACACACACACACACACACACACACACACACGTGCATCCCTATATCCATGTCTTCTTCAGAGGACATTACAATGACTTGCATTAACTTTTTAACTAGCCTCACCTACTACATGCGTAACCCTGACCTTCACTTTAACCTTAAGACACGGGTTCACCTTATTTGCGTCATGGGGACTTGATTTTTGTCCCTATAAGAACGACAAGTCTTTATGATTTGGGTCTCCACAACACAAGCAATGCATGTCTCTCTCTCTCTCACACACACAAACACACACACACACACACGCACACAGACACACACTGATTCCAGCAGCTTTTTAAATATCCTTTCAAACTTTGGGTTATATTACAAGTTGCTATCCGGGTCTTGTCTCTGCCATTGGCTTCTTCTTTCAAAGGGCGTGATTCTTATCGTTCTCGCTATCTCATCTCCACAGCCCGGGTATCACTCACATCATAATATATCGCACTCGATAAGGCTGAATACTATCAGGATTTAGCTCGGCGTGAACCCTTTTTCTTTCTGCAGCCAGTACAAAAAAACCCTGAATTCCTCTGCTCGGTGCCTCAACAGCGAGCTTCTATAGTCTTGAAATAAAACAAGAGATTGTATTGTAACATTTTCTTAACTCTGTGGAGTCTCGTTTAAATCCTCTAACATGTTACTGTTGGTGTGCGCACTGACCGAACTGTGTCATAATACCGTAATAAAAATGTTTGCGCTCACCATCAGGTCACATGATACAGTAACGAGACTGTACGACGACTAATTGGGTTTATTTCCCAACTGCTGCCATACAATAAAATGTATAATCACGTGTGTGGTGTGCTATTTAATGCGCACAGCAGAGGAAGCCTAACTGGACACACAACTAGCATTTGGATTAACACCTTGCATCTTACCGGGTGACTTTCCCTGACACCAAATCAGTTGTGTTTTTGCGAGTTATCTTTTGTTCCTGACTGATTATATGAATTAACAGCTCAAATCAAGCTTTAAACCTTCCAGAATAGTCGTAAGGAGTAAATGAATTTAGGAAGTTTGTGCTCCCATTACGCTCCCCGAACCGAATTATAAAGCTCAAAAGAAAAGGGGAGGGAAGCAGTCCTCTCCTTATTTTTTCTCCACACATTAAATTATGAATACGGGGAAGTTTTAAACATCTATAATTGAGTTCTCAAAAATACAGCCTGTGAAAGGTCAGGTTTGACCCATGCAGCTCCATCTGCATCTTGCTCTTAGAAATAATTGATGCGTTCGTCTCTCTATTTTACGCCCATGGATAATGAGTATAATTGGAGGAATCAGCTCCTGATTGACACGCACCTGCATTCATTTCTAATTTGGCTTTAATAATTTCGGATTCGCGCCCTCTCTCCCTCTCTCTCTCCCTCTCTCGCTCTTTCCCTCTGAGGCGGAGTTTATCCCCTCTGCACACCGTGGGCTCTCCGCACTTGTCAGTCGCAGCCTGCACGTGTGAGGGAAAGGACATCGTGTCGGTCCTTTGCAAAATCCACAAAGAGACAGGGAGAGAAGGAGGGTGGACACTCTGTAGTCTCGAGTATCCGAGCTTTTGCGCTATTTCCTCTCGGATGCGATTAAACCTAGACGCACAGGTGAATTAAAACCCCAGGGTGGAATTTGAAATATTTGGAGGATATGGACTGGTGGAGTGGAGTTAGCCTGATGTGCAAGTAAGTAGGATGCTGGCTTTGTGACTGGTGTAACTGATTATAACTTGAGGTGCCGTGTGTGTTTGCGTTTTTAACTTGCTTCTGTGTGCCTTCATCCATCGCAATGATTCTGACGCTGTGAGCGTGTTTGCAGAAATATAAACTGAAGCTGTGACACTACAATAGAAAACCGTTTGTTAAGGTTTACGTTAAAGGGCCCATGCGTGTGACAGTGTGCACAACAAAGGTGCTCAAACTCATTAAAAAAATACATTGCTTGGTAAATGGGAGTGGATGAAGAAATAAGCTGTGTGCATATCACTGCTGCATGGGCTTAAGATGCTGTGCGAAACAAAACGCTGGTTGAGTATCTAACCAACTTGTGGTGATACTTGACTGTGGGCATAGTTAAGGTTAAAGATCTATCAGGCCTACAGCCTGCTAAGCTGTCAGTCACCGTGTGTGTGTAGAAGTGAGCGTTTGTGTTAAAGTCGTGTTTTAACCGTGTTTCTCCTCTAAATCCTAATAAATAAATTCATGAATATTTCTGATATGTTGAGCATCTTCCTTTCTCTCTCTCTCACTCAGAGTGTGAGTGTGTGTGAGGATCTCTCAGTCCAATGAGACCACAAGCAGGCTCTCTCTCTCTCTCTCTCTCTCTCTCTCTCTCTCTCTCTC